GTCTCTAGCTTTGGGCTTTCGACCGCTTTCTGAACCGCTTCAATTGTCTTTCTGGATAAATTCCCAGAAAAACTGCCAAAGATTGGCATGTTGATATGGTCCTTTGAGACTTCGACCATTGTGATTCCTGGTCTCTTCGACTGGCTCCTGGATGCCTCGATCACGTTCACCTCTGAAGGCTCAGCATAGTGGGCTTCAGCCTGCAACGGATTAGAGTCGACAGCCATGGGGTTCTTGTCAGCAAACTTCAACCTCCCTTCTTCGATAGCGTCTTGCACAAGATTCCTGAAAAGAAAACATTGAGAAGTTTTATGGCCCAAAAAATTATGATATTTACAAAAGCCTCTCTTCTTTCTTTGATCAAGAGGGGGCACTTTTACCCCTGGGGGTACTATCATTTGGCCATCTTTTACAAGCAAGTCAAAGATCTCATCACATTTTGTAATGTCAAAACTATAAGTCTTTTTGGGGAACCTATCGTTGGTCCTTTCTGGACCAATGGGATTTTTTCCACTTGAGGGGACTAACAGTTTGCAAGAGTATGGTGGCCCTTGTTTTAGTTCCGCTAAATCGACTTCTCCTTCTTCGACAGTTATAGTATCGTCGAAGGATTCTGGATCTTCGTCATCCATCTCAACATACGCTATCCTCTCTCTCTTATGAGTTTTCGTTGCCTTTGCTTTTTCAGCTTTGAGGCGTTCTACCTGTCGAACTCTATCGGCCAGTTGGGCCATGTCTCTCAGGTATTGGGTGTCTAACTTCTTCCTAATGGAATAATCTAAACCGCCTGCGGCTATTTCGACTAACTCATGTTCCGGCACTTATGTAAAACATCTCGCTTTGAGCAACCTAAACCTATTTAGATATTCGTCTATAGGTTCAGTGAAACGTCTCTTTACACTGGCCAATTCTTTCAGGCTTATCTTGGTTTGCCCCATGTAGAATTGCTCGTGGAACAATCTTTCCAACTGGGTCCAATGATGGATCGAATTGGGGGGGAGAGTTGTAAACCAAGTAAAATCGTTCTTTGTTAAAGAACTTGGGAAGTACTTAATCCTCAGGTTTTCGTCGTTCGAAATATCTCCGGCTTCGATCAAGTATCTCGCCACATGTTCGACAGTAGATTCTGTCGTGTCCCCAGAGAACTTAGTGAATTTGGGGACTTTACATCTAGGAGGTAAGTCTGTTTGTAACACGTATTCTGACAATGGGGATGTAAAGTTGGGCCTTCGAAAGCCCATGTTCATCCCATTTTGAGTCATGATCCTTTCGATCATGGTTGCCAGATTATTTTCCAAACCCATGTTTTGGTATTGGATATGCTGAACTACTTCGTCAACATTTTGGTTTCTGTTAACTAACCTTACCTCTGGGGTTATTACCCTAGGTTCCTCGACAGGTTGCTCCGATCGTGCCCTAAGGTTTTCTTCGACAGGCTGTTGGACTTGGTTGATGGTGGTTTCTTCCTCTAAGAATACACCCTGGTTTCCCCTTATTTGCGCCCTTTGGGGCTGTCGAATAGGTTGGGGTACTCCAAAGAAATCAGCCAAACGCGTCATTTGCGCTGTCATCTGCTGATTCGATTGAGTAGTGTTTTGTATTAGAGGGTTCAACACTGTACTTAAAGTTTGTGCCAACATTTGAACCATATCATGGTTGCTTTCGTCCATTTGTTGCCTCAAGACTGCTGTCGAGGCATTTGTAAGGCCATGTGCTACTTGGGACGTTCCTCCTAAGAGTTGGGTCCTATTTCTATTCGCCATACCTACTCCAGAACCTTGGAGTGGCGAAGAGGAACTCACTAAAGGGTCTGAAAAAGTGGACGCAGCATTCGTCAGGCTAGCCAAGTCAGAAGTTGGCATGCCATAGAGTGGTTCTCGATTATGACCGCCTGTCATAAATCCTAGGGGAACAAAAGGCCTTGTGCCTAAATTTCCCCTTGGTGGGGGAGTTCCCAAAGGAACTCTGGGGCCCGTGAACAGAGGTAATGGCCCCGTTGTTGTGACCGTTACTGCTGGTGTTGAACCAGCGGTTATCGCTTCACTTACGGTCGGGATAACCGTTGCTCCCACATTCGTTTGTGGGATTTCGTTATTGTTTGGCGGATTCGCCATCTCTTCCCTTCTTCTGGCAGCATTGGTATCGTTAGTGTATATTCTACCACTTCTCAATAACATGCAACACGCCTCGAAAAGGATGAGATTATGTTTAAAAAGGTCAAACTTTAACAATCAACACACGGTCCCACCAGGTGTGCCAATTTGTTTACCGTGGTTATTGGTAAACAACCGCTGATCCTCCAAATGGTTACTTATTTGGTTACTCGCAGGATCGATCAGATTGATCCTAAGACATAGGTTGATTTTGAGGTTTTGATTAAATTGGATAATGGTTAAATGACAAGAAAATAAAGAGGCTTTAAGTAAATTGCATGAAGAAATAGGCTTGGTAAAATAAATGAAGGCTTGAAATAAAGGGCTTCGACAGGGAAAGTAAAGAAGAAAGCAAGTAAAGTTTCTGGAAAGTAAATGACTTTGATTAATAAAAGTGGTGTTTCACACATACATTCTCAACAATTCTTTCTCACACGCTGGGTACTCGAATCTATATGAGTGACTTTGTATATAATTGTGAACACACGCGAGAAACTGTGTGAACTACTACTATTTATACTAAAACATCCCAAGTAACCGTCGGGCAGTTACACTGCTTCGAGATGATTCCACTTGGCACGTTCTCAACGTTCGACGCTCCAGATCTTTGCACGTTGCACTTGGTAACCGCTGGAAACCGTTTTCCCTCCAAACGCTTGAATTTCAAACCGTTCCACTCTGAACCATCGAACATCTTCGTCGAGAAGCATCTTCGACGAGAAACACCTTCGACGTCGAAGGCAACCAACTTCTCCCTTGGAAGAAATCTTCTAAGTACATTGTCATCTTTCGATGGGCATTTCGACAGACCCAGCTGATCGAAAACATCCTTCAGCTTTAATGGCTGATATTAATGAAACAAGGGTGTCGAATTTAAGAGCCAACAATAAGCAGTCCCCTTTTAATGTATCCAGGATTCTCTTGACTGCTGCCAAGTGAGACATCTTCAGCCTCTCCATGAATCTACTCGCAATACTGACACTAAAAGCAAAATATGGCTGCATATTCACAATTAACGTAATGATCTAATAAATCTTCTATATTGAGTAGGATCTATGTTCTTCTCCTCTTCATTCTTGGATAGCTACAACATTAGTTCAACTGGTGTAATGGCAACATTACAATGCTCCATATCACACTTCTTCAATATCTCAATGGCATATCTTCTTTGATGCATAAGCAGTCTCCTTTTGGATTTGTGTAACTTTATGCCATGGAAGCATGTCATAATACCAAGGTTGCTCTTCTCAAATAATTTCATAAGCTTACTCTTGAACATAGAAATACTCATCTCGTTGCTGCCTATAATCAACAAGTCGCCTACATATAGACAAAAATGATCACGCTTCACTTGCACCCGTCTTCACACAAATTCCATGCTCGGACACACATTCCTTGAAGCCAACCTCAACTCGGAAACCATTTATCTATCCTTTTATTCCAAGCTCTCAAAGCTTGATTCAAACTATACAATGTTTTTCTCAACTTGTAGAACCTTCCCTCTTGTTTTTTCACAACAAAACCAGGGGGGGTGTTCTACATACAATTCTTCTTCAAGCGGGCCGTTAAAAAATGCGGACTTCACAACTATTTGATAGATATACCAATTTATGTTATTCGCAATACCAACAAATAGCTTTATGGTTTCAATCCTAAAAACCAGTGCAAATACCTCATCAACGTTTATATTCTCTTTACAAATATCCTTTTGCAACTAATGGAGCCTTATGCTTGATTATTTCAACTTTGGGATTTTCCTCCGCCTTATAGACTCATCTTACCCCAATCGGCTTTTTTCCTTCTAGTAGATCAACCAACTCTTAATTATTAATTTTCTCAATCGATTCTAACTCCTCTTTTATAGCACATATCCACTTTGGATCACTCAAGACCTCTTCCGTCTTAACGGGCTCAAATTCAGCCATAAGTGAAAAATAGACGAAATCACCATCATCATTGGTTTCCTTGTTGCAGAATATATCACAATCTTGGAGTATTTGAGGAAAACCTCTTTGCCTAGTTGTTCGTCTCACATTTTCACCAATTCTTAGTTCGACGTGCGGTAGTTATTTGTTTCAGATTCTTGAGAATCCAAAAAATCGCACGTCTAACCAATTAAGGCCTACATGAAACCAATTAACGTGTTAGTGTAATCGATTACACGCTGCTCCATTTGCTTCAATTCATCGATTAGAACATCTTGGTTGATCACAATCCTCGTGTTTTCAACATCAAACAACTTGTAACCTCTAGTAGGGTGATACTCCGCAAGTATCGTCAACTCCCCTTTGCCATCCAACTTCTTTCTAAGTTGACCCAGAACATGTTGATATAGCACGGAACCGAAAAACTCTCAAATGGTTTAGATTCAGTTTGAATCTAGACCATTCCACTTCTGGTGTTTTCTTCTCAAGCCTTTTTGTAGGTGATCGACCACATTTTTGCTGTGTTTTATTAGTTGTTTTTGTTAGTCTTTTGCAGTACTTCTTTGCAAAATGAGAATATTTATAGTAAGTTTCTAATGGTTTTAAAGGTTCCTTGTGATTATATCATTTCAAATTCTTTTGATCTTTTTAGGAAGGTATTGTGTGTTTTGCAGGACAAACATACAGAGAATAGAGTGAGAAGTGTGGTGTGGTTGGCCAAACATATGGCCAAATGTGCGTGGAATAGAAAAAAATGCATTCCTCTGCCCAAATAAGTGCCCAGACGCGTGCCAGCTTAGGAAACCATCCAGAATTGGGTCTCTCTTCCCACATGCATGCCAATACATGTGTCCCAGTCAAAGAAATCAAAGAAAAAGCATCCCTCTAGTCAGACACATGTCAAAACGTGTGCTAGAGGCACCTATATGCCTAGACGCAAGCCTTGTACCCTGTCAGCAACGTCTCTTTCCAAATGTGTTCCATCTCCTACAGGAAGTCAGAAAAAGGATCCCCGGGTCAAACAAGTCCCAACACGCGTGTCAAGTGGCAGAAACACGCAAGAAAACTACCTCCTTGCCTGAACGCGTCCCCAGACCCGTGCCATCAGCCCATGTGCGTCCCAAGACGCGTGTGCGCGTGAAGTCATGAATTTTTTGGTCTGAATTTTTTGTGCATCTGTTGCACCTTCGACGAGGGGATTCACCCCATTCTTAATCCCTTCAAGAACTTCTTGGTATCCAAACAACACTTTTATTTTCTTGCAACTCTTGTCGTAATTCTTCGCATCAAGGGTTGATAGGTTTGTGGACACTCTATCATTGGAGACATTATTCATATTTGTATATCGGGTTATGGATCAGAACAAGACTCTTGATGCCAAATGTTGGAACATTCAATCACATAATTGGTGAACAATAGAGGATTTTGGATATGTGAAGAAGAAGATAGTGAGAGAAGAAGAAAATTAGAGAGAGGGAGAGAGTAATTGAAAGTGAGAATGAACAATTCTATTAACTTGAGATGAGGATGTCTCCAAGGCATGTATACTAGTGTTACATAACAATTGGGATCTAAAACAATTCACTAAAGTACAAGAAAAAATATTAAATATCAGGCTCGTAACCGGTTAACACAACCATAACAGAAACTTCAAATTATCAGGTGTAATCAGTTAACGCGTATGCGTAACCAGTTAACGCTAACTCAAAACTGCTTTTCTTACTTGCAAAAGTGATTTTTCTTTCAGCCATAATGGTTACACATCTGTGTTAACTAGTTACAACACTTGAATTATAAAGATTTCATCCAACAAAAGAGAGAAATTGATGATAAAGATAAAACAAAGATTATATGATGTATTTAGAAAGTCATCCATTAATCAAGTAAAATCACCTCTTTTAAGGATCCAAAATGTCCCCATCTTAGGCAGTTTAAAAAGTATTTATTTAGATAGAAAATGACATATATATTTGTGTATATTCTAAAGGATTTTGTGCTAGTGTGCACGTCACTTTCATAAATACACATACGAGTTACAAGAAATAAACACTTTAATGACAACATCTTCATTTAGAGAAACCGAAGATCAAAATCCAAAGGGGTAAAGATGACATGAGAAAATAAAATTGGTCTAAAGAGTCGTTACCTTGATCATCATTAAGCTTAACAGTTTCTAGAGAATCTCTAACAGCAAAATCTTGTTCCTAAACATATTCAAATAAACAAATGATATTATCAGTATCCAAAATATTAGTATATTTGTAAGATTAGCCTCACTAAATATATCAATATATATTCTAGTTTGGAAGAGCCTAACTTTTATCATAGAGAGAATAACAAACAAAAAACAAAAATATCAGTATTTGTAAACATTAAAAAGCTTGATAAGATTCTATAAAGTCACACTTACTTGTGATGAACTGATTAACTCTAAATGAGTTGAGGTTGTTAATATCTTGGCATCTGTTAATGCAGTTTCTTCTTCAACACTCTGCATAAATTAAAAATGATGTTTAAGTTGGTAGTGTAATTCAATTACTACATTCAAAAGGGGTCAAAATGAAAACAAACAATATAGGAGAGATATGCCTTTAGTTTAGGAAAATGTAAATAACATGTAGTAAAATTTTAACAAGCACTTGAAGTAAAATCTATATATTTTTAGCTTTTGATGCAAAATTAGGTGATACTATATTAAATTACTTGCCTGAGGTGGTTTGATGGTAGTATTGATTTCTCCAAGTGGACCTTGTTGACTCATTGATTGTTCTTTCTCCAACTTCTATATTAAAAACATGCATTAGAGATATAACATTACTTTTGTATTTGTTGGTAATACTGGAACAGATGGTGTCTCTAAATAAGAAGCATTTTCGACACATTCATGCTCTGCCACTACTGCTTGTTTCATTTTTATCTACTAAAAAAATATGTTTGATTCAGAGACATTTTTATCTAATAAACAGATTTATGTTGACCTGTGAATATGTCGTTTCATGTCCTAATACTGCTTCAGTTTCAATCCCAACACTAGCAACATCATCTTTTGTGGTTTCTCCACTTGAATTTTCATTACAAGTATCTTCAGTTGTCGACTCTTTTTGTAATTTTTTAAATAGAATCTTAAGCAGAACCCTTGTATAAAGATCTACAGAAAAATAATATTGATTCCAATCGTTAGATAGTAACTCATTAACATAGTAAAACAAAAACGTTCACTAGATTTACAATTAATTATTTTTTTATTAAACAAATGGGAAAAAGGAAACTATTATTAAGTAATGTGATTTGAACTCCATCCCTAATAATCAACACTTTACTACTTTTATAAAGCTTCTATTAGTAAGGAATTGGATAACTGCATAAATTCTTTCATTTTAAAATAGTTATTCATGCACATTTTTACTTCAATTATTTATTTTTCAACGTAGTTAAATTTTTAAAATATTTTAAAAAAGAAAAATAGAGATAAAGAAAAAACAAATTATTATATTGTTGAAAATCCATCAAAATCTATGATGAATTTCTATCAATCTTGATAACAAAATTGTTACCACCACACAATGACAATGAAAAGAAAAGAAAATTAAAGAAGAAAAGATTAGGGTTTCTGTAGAATTTCTCTCTGCCCACAAATTATGGAAAACTTTATTCACTTGCAACTATAAATTCTGTGAATACTCAACCTGAGTTAGTTGTTACAAAAATAGGGGTTACACCCTCTATTTATAATTGAACTTACTTTCTCCATAAGCCAAAAAGCCTAAAACTATAAAAGCTCAAAATATCTATTTTAGACCTAAATCAAATATATCTATTTTAGACCTACATCAAATCTATCTATTTTAGAACTAAATCAAATATGTGTGTAGAAATTTGCTTACAACACTTCGATAGACTAATTACAACTCGACACAATCTTTTCGACACACGCACACACTAGGTGTTTAGACACTTTCTTGTTTTCTGTCGAGCAAACTGCTTCGATACAAGGAATTATAATTTCAACACACCATCTAATTCATTGTGTCTAAACTATCTATATTTATCATAGCTCTTAGTTTTCTAAATATTTCGACCTCCACACATTTCGTCATGACATCTGCAATCTGATTCTCAGTTCTGTAGTGTTCCAAGTTCATCTTCCTATCTTCTACCTGCTCTCAAAGATAGTGGAACCTCATTTCGATGTGTTTGCTTCGACCATGTGCTATCGGGTTCTTCGCCAGATTGATAACTGACATGTTGTCGATCTTCATGGTAATTGCTCCATGATCTTTACTTGTTATCTCTTCGACCAAGTTCACAATCCATGTTGCTTGACATGTGCAAATAGAAGAAAATATGTATTCTACTTCGCATGATGATAATGCCACTAATGGTTCCTTTCTCGAACTCTAAGAAACTGGTGCACCACCTAACATAAACACATAACCTGTTGTGGATTTTCGATCCTCAGCATCACTACACCAACTCGAATAAGTGTACCCCACTAACTTGCACTCTTTTCCTTTATCAGCTGCAGGTAAAATGTCATAATCAAGAGTTCCTTTCAGATACCTCAGTATCCTCTTTGTCGCTGCTAGGTGTGATATCTTTGGCTTCTGCATGAATCTACTTACCATACCTACATTGGATGCTAAGTCAGGCTTTGTGTGGCAAAGGTATCTTAATGACCCAATAAGTTTCATGTATTGAGTTGGGTTGACATCATCTTCTTCTAAATCTTTTGACAGTTGCAGTCTGGGTTATGCAGGTGTCGAAGTCGAGTTGAATTCTTCCACCTCAAATCTCTTGAGAATTTCTCCTTTGATGTATCATCAAACCTCTACTACTCTTGTAGAATTTGATGCTAAGGAAATATGAAATGTCACCCAAATCAGACATTTCTAATTCCTTGCTGAGATCACCTTTGAAGTCTTCGATCTTCTTCTTGCAGCTACCTGTTATTAACAAGTCATCGACATAGATACATAGTATAAGCAATTCACTATTGCTTCTTCTTACATATACTACATGCTCAGTTGTACACTTCACAAATTCCTTTTCCCTTAGAAGACTATCAATCTTCTTATTCCAAGCTCTTGGAGCTTGTTTCAATCCATACAGGGCTTTATGCATCATATACACCTTTCTCTCTTCGCCATGCTTTGCAAACCAGACTGGTTGTGCAACATAAACTTCTTCATCTAAAGGTCCATTTAGGAATGCATACTTTACATCCATCTGACATATGTGCCAACTGTTCATTTCTGCTATACCAACAATCAACCTGATTATTTCGATTCTAACCACAGGTGCAAAAACCTCATCGAAGTCTATTCCTTTTTCTGGAGAAATCCTTTCACCACGAGCTTTACTTTGTGTTGAGTTAATTTCCCTTTGGGATTCATATTCACTTTGTATACCCACTTTACATTAATTTTCTTCTTGTCTTGAGGAAATTCGATAAATGACCAAGTGTTGTTGTCTTCGATGGAATTTACTTCTTCGTTCATTGCTTTCGCCCACTTCAAATCCTTCAACGCTTCAATTGCATTGACTGGTTCGACATCTGGATAGAAAGCATAATGTACTAGCTCACCTTCATTATCTACCACATCATCTAGTGTAATCACACAATCTTGCAACCTTGTTGGCATGCGTCTTGTTCTCCGAGGTCTGCTTGTACTTGGTTGATCTCTAACTTCCTCTTGTCGAACTTCACTTTCAACTTGAGTTTCTGATTCTTCAAGTAAGATTCTCACTGAATCTTTCTTGACATTTTCAGTCTAATCCTATTCTTTAAGCTCATCTATGATCACGTCCCTGTTGATCACAATCTGCTTGTTCATAGGGTCAAACAACTTGTAATCTCATGTCGAATTATATCCAACTAGGATCATTTGACTCAACTTGTCTTAAAGTTTTCTTCTCAAGTGATATGACAAATGTCTATGTGTTATTGATCTAAACACTTTCAGATGACTTAAACTAGGTTTTACACCAGACAAACATTCTTCTGGAGTGACTCCTTCTAACTTCTTCATTCGGCATATGTTTAAAATATATGTTGCAGTAAACACGACTTCATCCCAAATTTTTTTAGGTAAATTCCTGCATTTCAATATACTTCACACCATATTCATGATGGTTTTATTCTTCCTCTCTGCAGTTCCATTCTTCTGTGGAGTTTAGGGTGACACTGGCTCATGCACAATCCCTTCCTTTTCACATAATTTGTGGAAATCTTTCGACATATACTCTCCACCACCATCAGTTCTCAAAACTTTGAGCTTTCGACCACTTTGTCTTTCGACCATAGATTTAAACTTGGTAAATACCTCGATCATTTCACTTTTCTTCTTGATCAGGTAATTCCACAGTTTTCGACTGAAGTCATCTATAAATGTGATAAAGTATTTGTTACCTCCCATCTAATCCACCTGGAATGGTTCACATACATCAGAGTATATGAATTTGAGAATAACCTTAGACTTGCTTCCTACATCCTTGCTGAAGCTATTCTTGTGTTGTTTCACCTGCACACATTCCTCACACACCTCGTTTGGAATGTCGATCTCTGGAAATTCTGAAATCATATTTTTTCTCTTTAAATCTTTGATGTCTCTAAAGTTGAGATGGTCTAGTCGATAGTGCCATATCCATTTGTCTCTGCTAGCTGCAGTCAAAATGCACTGATGCTCCATCATATTAAGTTCAATATTGAAGGTTCTATTCTGAGACATAGGAGCCTTCAAGATTAATCTTCCATTTGCGTCGATGACTCTCATCATCTTGTCTTCGACCTGAACTTTGTAATTCATTTTGACAAACTGCCTTATGCTTAACAAGTTTCTCTTCATGCCTGGAATGTACACCACATTGAAAATTACTGACCTTTTTCCACCTCCAATACCTTCAGCTGCTAGAATATTGTCATTTGTAAATTTTACCGTGTTCTTCATTGAGGGTTTTAGGTTGACAAACCAATCTTTCCTTCCAGAAATGTGTGATGAGCATCCTGAATTCAAGTATCATTGGTCCTTGAATTTTTCTTCATCGCTTGTTGTGACCATCAACAACATCTATTCTTCTTCATACTTTGCAAACTTTGTATCACTTTCTTGATTCTTTCGCTTATCGGGACAACCTCTAGAATAGTGATCATATTTTTGATAATTGTAACAATAAATATGACTTTTGTCAGGTTTTCGACCATCACCTCTTCCTCTAACTCCAGCACCACCTCTTTGTTTCCTTGGTATTGGGGTTTTCTCTGATTCGACACAACTCCTTCATGCTGGTTTCCTTTACAAGTCGAATTGTTGTAGCCAACTCTACTTTTGTCGTCGAACCATTTTCCTTTGCATTTCTTATCTTTTACTGATTAAGCCTATAAAACCACATCACTCTTCGATTTTCCTACACCTCTTTCAGCCAATATTTGTTCATGAGATTCAAGAGTCTCTTGAAGCTCTTCTTTCGACAAAGTTGATATGTCTTTCGACTCTTCAATGGAAACTACCACATGATCGAACATCGGAGCCAACGATCTCAAGATCTTCGAAACAACAGCTCTTGTTGTTAACCTCTCTCCACAAACCTTGATTTGATTCACTTGTTTCGTAACCCTAGTGATGAAATCAGATATGCTTTCTCTATCTTCCATCTAAAGCAATTCATACATTCTTTTGTGAGTTTGTAATCTCACCTCTTTCACCTTCTCATCGCCTCCAAACGATTTCTTTAAAATTTTTGAAGCTTCTTTTGCAGAATCTACATCACTAACCTTTTAGAAATTGTCTGGGCTAACACATGGGTGAATTATAAAGAGAACTTTTATAATTCTTCTTCTTTAATTCTTTTTAATCCGCCTCTTCTTTTCTGAAGCATCTTCTTCAAGTGGTTCTAATCCATATTTCACAAGTTCCTAAAGACCTTGAAAACAGAATATAAATACACACTTTCATAAATCCACAAAAGAGTTACAAGAAATTAACATAACTTTTCAAAATATTTTACTAACAGTGTATGATATGTAATTTGTTATAACTATCATGTAATGGTTATTAAAAGTATTGGGTATAATGTGTACCTATGTAATGCCGATCAATGTCATGAATGACAAAAGGAGTAGAGGCTGAAGTCAAAGAGAGATTTTGACAACTATGTACATAACGATTTTTTGCCGCCTGAAATAGGATTCCTTGGGTGTGGAAGAGGCTTGGTAGGTGGTCAAGTACTAGAATATTTAGATTTGGGATCTCGACTTTCTGGTCACCTTCGCATTTGAATATTTCTTCAAGCTCATCTGATTCTATGATCATCAAATTCTCTAACCTCAGAAGTTCTTTGCATGTGGAGGCCAGAAAGACATATTTCAATTTGTGACACTTTATTACGGAAAGTGTTTTTAGTTTTGGAAAACAAGTCCTTAAGGACAGGTTTTGATTCTGCCTGTCGTCTTCAATGATATGCTTCAACTGTTTGCAATTTAATATAATTAGATCTCGCAATTGTGATATGCATCTTAAAATAGAAGTAGAGAAAACTACTTCCAATATTTCACATTGCCTGATGGTTATTCTTGTAAGGTTTTGTAGGGCAAAAGAATTTTTGGGACCTACAAAAAGGTACATCATATAATGCAGATCGTATAAGTAAATCCATCGCAACCTTAAGTTCAATGGTTCTCCTTCTATTTCATTGAGACACAGTATATTTTCTGCTTTGGACTTATGTAGCCAGAGACTTTCTAAAGCAACAAAATTTTCAATGCTCCCACTCACCTACATTTAGGGACATAAATTGAATTAGGAATAGTATCATAATATCTTTTTTGAAATTCACTCAAATGAGATATCATTTTAGATTATATTGTTAACTTAAGTTAAATGAGATATCATTTCAGAAAAACATGGATACCTTGGTGATTGTATTTAACAGAGATTCTGATTCTGAATGATTAATAATGAATTCACCAATAGATTTGATTGCAACCTCAGAGCAGTCTGAGAGGCGAAGGTTTTTAAAAGGTGGAAATGTTGTGCAATACTGTTTGGGACATATGGCAACTAAACTTGGTAGGCAATTGAGAGTGAGACTTTGCAATGCCGAAAGATGAAGGTGAATCTTAGAGTGGTTGTGATGGTCATCAGTGTAGTGTCCAAATATGTATTCCAATTTCTTGCAACTTTCAACGCGGAGAGTTTTTAATTTTGGGAAGACCTTGCACCAATTATTGCCATCACTGTCATCATCTCCAATGTCAACTATTATGTGCTTCAATTCATTACAGTTTTTGATCGTCAAAGTTTCCACCAACATTGTTGGAGTAATAGACATGATGAGCACCCATTTTATCATCGAAATATCACAAAGTGTAATTTCTTTTACATTACACATGTTAAGCAATCGTGCTTGAAAACATTGTGCACGGTCCCATATTTGAATATGGTGTGAACTTGATCCCTGTAATGTAATCCCAATATCGAATCAAACATTATTGAACAAGTGTGTATACAAGTCCTAAAGATACGTATAACATTTCTCTTATATAAGTCCTAAAAGATACGTGTATGTTATATATAATTACGTTTGTGCATACAACTTTTTGAAACTTTTTGAAAATTTTCAAATTGTTTTTTTTATGATATAAGCCCTAAAGATAGGTCCACAATATCTATAATTAATTTTGTGCAAAAATATTTTAGAAACACTTCATATAGGATGCCACTTTTAATACAAGACTTCAAATTTTGGATGTTTAATAAGCAAAATGATATCAAGTGTCAATAGACAATACAAGATACACATTTAAAAGAGAACATATAAAAAAATAACAAAAAAGAGGTGAGAGTGTTACTAATGCGGCTGAGTTGTTCCGCTGGGTGTTATTAATTATATGAATAATAGCTATAAAACATACATTTAATAAAAAAAAACTAAACAAATAACACAATACCATAAAAGAGTTTTAAAAAAAACTACAATAAAGGATTCATAAAATCAAATATTAAATCACAAGGCTTAATAAAACCAAGAATGTATAAAGATTAAAGATAAAAAGAAGAGAAAAAATTGAGGACGGGACAGTGAGAAGAGTAAAGAAAAAAGAAAAGAAAGAAGAGAAAATAAAAAATAGAGAAGTAATATGAAGAACTTTCAAAAACCAACCTGAGAAGAGAAGAATTTTTCAAGTGAGAAGATCAAAGAGAGTTTTCTGAGTTAGTTGATGCCGCGGTGAGAACGGGACCATGGTTGTCGGGATCTTGCTCTAACTCTCAAAATCTTACGATCTTACGCTTTGACAACCGGCTATCGATTTTAGTGGTACAAAGATCTGAGATTTGATTGGAGCGTTGAACTCCTAGAGAAAGATCTTTAAATCGTGGGATCTTGAGATCCCAACAATCCTTTTTTTTTGTTTTTACCCGTTTTAGACGCATTTCGACCCGATCATTAAACAATTGAAATAAGCCCATAAACACATACTATTATATTTTTCAGATAAATTAATGAGAATGTTACTTTAAGTGATATTCCATTATGTATTTTTAGATAAATTAATGAGAACTTTTACATTAAAGTCATTTTTCCTAATTATTTCTATAATTTTGTCTATTTGTTGGGATCTTACAATATGTGTTACAATCCTAAGATTTATGCTTGTTCTATACTCTAATGATCTTTATTGAGATCTCGATTTTGACAACCATGAACAGGAGAGAAACGCGTGAGGAAGTGAGAAGACAAATCTTTCAATATTTATTTATGTATGGGTAAATAAGATTTTTTTCCATTAAAAATAGATAGTAGATTGAAACCTCTACGGGCCGGGAAGCGCTCTGTGCTGCAAACCGCTCCAAGTCAAACTGAGACACGAACTAGTATGTCATAGCGGTTGGCCACAACTTTGCACTGCTCTCCCAGGATAGTGTTGTTATTACCCAGGATTGATAACTCTGAATTGAATTAAAGTAGTTGACATACTTCCAAGTTTGTGTCTATGGTTATTTATATTGAGAATTGGTTACAAATCAATTTGTATTGATTTGTATTCAATTAGTCATAAGTGTAAATTATATTATTATCTATTGTGTATACCTATTTTGCATATAAATATATAACATGTTTGATCATATTAGACTAACAGAAATACAATCACAACATGGTATCTAGAGTTGGTTGACTCACTGTCTTCGAGAATTTTTTTTTCCCGTTTCTGCAAAATATCAGGCCATTCACGACACTGCACGAGCGCAACACCATTCCTGACGACTTTTCCAGCGAAGTAACCATACCGACGACATTGCCTCCTTCTGATCAGTCGGTACCCAAAATCGTTGTTGTGATCTACCTTACAACGCTCGCTGCCGCCACTTGTGTGTGGATCTCATGTGTCGACCTTCCCTATGCGCGTGACAACACGTCCCACAACCTTTATTGCCATTTTTGTCGCCTTTTGTGCTCTTTTCAGACCTGCTCTTGGTTTTTCCATCCAAGCAACCAAAAATCATGGGAGATACCGATTCCGCCACTTTTACGAAGGTTTCACTTATCCCGTGTGAGAAACTCACTAGAACAACACACTATAATATATAGGCTGGTGCTGTCAAAATGTGGTTTCATGGTCAAGGACATGAAGATCACTTAACTACAAAATCAGAAAATATTACCGCCGCCAAACACGATAAACCGAAACAAACAGATGCTTCTCTATGCACTATGTTATGCTTTTCCATAACAACTAAACTCCAAGCACAATACCAATCTATGAGGTTTGGGAAAAGGCTAAGAAAGTGTTCTCCAATGATGTCCATAATCTTTATAGTTTCATCACCAAACTCAACTCTTTGAAATTGGAGAATATGGATATGCAAGCCTATCTGAGTAAGCTTGATGCGTTTAAGGAAAATTTCACAACCCTAATTCCCTGTACCAAAGATCCAACAACTTATGCTGAACAACAAAGTAAGTATTTCATGATCGTGGCACTTGTCGGACTACCATCGGGGCTTGATTCTGTCTAGAACCAAATTTTATCAGGATCAAATGTTCCTAACTATGAAGCAGTTAGTGAACAACTATTGCATTTGGCTACACTCACGCCTTTGGACCGGTTTCCACTCTATCTCTCATTGAATTATCTACTCTTGCTTCCCGCTATCATGGTCGTGATGGACGAAATAGAGGAAGGGGTGGACAACGTCATGGTATTAATTGTAACTATTGTAATCATTACGGTAAAGGCAAGAGAACAACAACGACAACCACGGGTCGCTCATGTCGCTCAACTGAACAACAATAAAGATATTAAAATTCCTACTGTTGATTACAATGATTTCCTCCTATTCAAAACAGCCCATCAACCATCATCATTTGTCAATGTTGCTCAGTCGGTTAATCCTACAACCTTTGTATATACATCTTCGCTTGGTCCTTAGGTTATTGACTCAGGTTCCTCTGATCATATGATTGCTAATAAATGCCTTTTAGCTCACTTGTCTTATTCTGATTCTTGTCCTTCTGTCACTATGGCTGATAGTTTTAAAATCTAAGTTTAAGACCTTGGTCAGGAACACCCACATCCAAACCTGCCTTTAGAGTCTGTTCTTTTAATCTGCCTCTAGAGTCTGATTCACCAATCTTCCTTTAGAATAATTCTTTTAATCTTCCTTTAGAGTCCTGACTTGAAACAAAATTATGTCTTGATATCTAGTTTCAATCTTTTTTAACATCACAGAGAATTATTCACCAATCATCATGTGCTCATACACCACAACAAAACGATGTTGCTGAACAGAAGAATCGTTATTTAGTAGAAACCGCACAAACTCTATTACTTCACCACAATGTACCTTCTCGTTTTTGGGTGATGCTCTCCTCACATACTGTCACATTATCAACCGAATGCCTTAATCGGTCTTCTAAGATTAGATTCCATACTCTATCTTGAACCCACAACATGACCTCTACCCCATTCTGATTCGTCACTTTGGTTGCACATGTTTTGTTCATGATCTTAGTCCAGGTAAAGACAAGCTCTATGCCAAATCTCTAAAATATATATTTCTAGGCTACTCATGTATACAAAAAGGATATCATTGTCTTTATCCTCAACTTCAACGGTACATTTTTCCTCTGATGTTACATTCTTTGAAGGTTTCCCATTTTTATCTATCTCTGTGTCACCCGATGAGACTTGTAACTTAGATGTTCAGGATGTCCCTTCTATCATCCCCATACCCATTAAACCTTCATTACAGATCTACCAGCGACGAATACCCCATCCATCGGAAGTTAGAGATGATATTAATCCATCAACACCATCTCCTAGTCCAACTCTTCCTCCATCTACGTCACCTGAACTTGACCTCCCAATAGCATCACGAAAAGGTATTTAATCTCATACTCCAAATCTTAAATATGTATATGTTTTAAATTATGATTGTGTTTCTACTTCCTATGTGTCTTTTGTGTCTTCTTTGAATTCTGTGTCTATTCCTAAGTCTACAGGTGAGGCTATGACTGATCCCAATAGGCGTCAGGCGGTGGTGGAAGAAATGGATGCATTGCATTTAAATTAGACTTAGGATATTGTTACTTTACCTTCCGAAAAAACTATAGTAGGACGTTGAAGGGTTTATACAGTGAAGGTTGGACCATATGGTCAAATCGATCGTTTCAAAGCTCGTTTGATAGCCAAAGGATATACACAAATATTTGGTCTTGATTATGGTGACACTTTTTTTCCTGTAGTCAAGATTAGTTCAGTGCGTCTCTTCCTTGCAATAGTTGATATTAATCGTTGGCCGCTTCATCAATTAGACATTAAAAATGCCTTTTTACATGGAGAATTGGAGGAGGAAGTATATATGGCCAACCTCCAAGTTTTACCATTCCTGGAAATTCTAGACTTGTCTTTCGGCTTCGTTGGTCTCATTGGTCGCTTCAGCTCTGCCTTGATATAGTTCGATGACTAGATGTGAATCAGATCACTCAGTTTTCCTTCTTCATTTCTCCATCAGTCAACGCATCTTTCTTGTGGTCTACATTGATGACATTGTTATCACTGGAGATAATACAAATGGTATCCAACGACTCAAAACTCATCTTTTCAACAAGTTTCAAACAAAAGACTTGGGTCCACTCGAATACTTCTTGGGTATTGAAGTTGCTCAGTCCTTATCAGGCATTGCAATTAACCAACGTAAGTATCCATTAGACATCCTCAATGAAATCGGTATGCTTGATTGTCGTCCGATGAATACTCATATGGATCCCAACGTTAAGCTTATTCTGGGTAAGGGGGGGCTGTTGAAAGACCCGGGAAGATATCAACGTCTAGTGAGTAGTTTAATTTATCTTACTCTCACCAGACCAGATATTACTTTGGGACTGAGCATTATGAGTCAATTTATGAATGCCCCTTGTGATAATCATTAGAATGTAGTTATTCAGATTCTCAGATATATAAAGAAAGCACCAGGAAGAGGCGTATTATATGAAAATAAAGGTGATTCTAAAATCACATGTTATTCAGATGCAGAGTGGGCAGGATCATCAACAGATAGGAGATCCACTTCTGGATATTGTGTTCTTATTGGAGGAAATATGATCTCATAGAGGAGCAAGAAAGGAAACATGGTTGCACTATCTAATGTTGAAGCTGAATATTGTGCTATGGCGGCAACATTAAAGGAACTTGTGTGGCTTAAGAATTGACTCTCAGAACTTAGATTGGGAGATCTTCAGAACACAAGACTCATATGCGACAATCAAGCGACGCTTCGTATTGTATCAGATCCGGTATTCCATGAACGACCAAGCACATAGAAATAGATTGTCACTATGTAAGAGAAAAAGTATTGTCAGGAGAAATAACCACAACGTTCATCAAATCTGAAGATCAATTGGATGATATGTTTTTCAAATATCTTAAGGGTTCCCGAGTGAATTACATTTGTAACAAGTTCGAATCATACAATATATATGGTCCGACTTGAGGGAAAGTGTTGAGAATCGGTTACAGATCAATTAGTATTGATTTGTATTCAATTAGACATAAGTGTAAATTATATTATTACATATTGTGTATATTTATTTACATATTGTATATATTTATTTTGCGTATAAATATACAATATGTGTGATCATATTCGACACAAGCAATACAATCACCATGACATGAAAGATGTTTCATTTTATAGGGTCCAATTGTATTTGTGTCTAGAATCGGAAGATGGCTTATTCACGAGGGAAAACATAGAATGAGAATGTTTCTGAAAAAAAAACATGAAATTTGGTAACTCACAAAGCTTTATTTATTTTAGTGAACTTAGTTCAACATGTTGGTATATGGCAAATATGTATTTAAGCTCATCACGTCTACTTACACTAATAACTTCTAGTATTGAAAGGTCTTCAAAAGAGAGGAAACGAAATTTTGAAACATTGACTTTATTAGTAAAACACATTCTTAAGTTCATTATAGCATAATTTTTTTTGTATTTATTCATACTTAATTTTTTTTACAATTACTAATTTTATATTTGATAAAAAATCAAATATATCTATATACTCCATCCGTAACTAATTATAAGTAAATTTGATTTTTTTTTTATATATTTGACAATTAATGTATCTAATGTATATATGGACTACATATATTAATTGTCAAATGCACCAAAAAAATTAATTTTGCTTATAATTCGTTATGGAAGGAGTATATACTACCGGGTGTTGGTGGTATTTTCATAAATTTTGGAAATCACATAAAAATCTACTTCATGCCACTTGATTCCATTGGAATGCATAAGCATTTTATTTTGGAAAGATTTATACTTTCATTTATAATACATGAAAATATTACTCTCACCTAGTAATTGTGAATTGCAATTCAACAACAATGTTTAGGTAAAATTGAAATCATTGAATAATTTGGCAAACAAGAAAGATATATGGAAAAAGGGATACCTTGATGATTGTATTGTCAAGAGATTCTGATTCTGAATGATTAATAATGAATTCACCAATAGATTTGATAGCAACCTGGCAGCATTCTGAGATGTCAAGTTGTTCCAAGGGTGGAAATGGTGTGCAATATTGTTTGGGACATATGGCAACTAAACTTGGCAGATTGCGAAGTTTGAGATACTGTAATGCTGGAAGATGAAGGTTTGGATGGTCATTAGTGTAGTGCCCAAATAGGTATTTCAATTGCATGCATTCATTTACGTAAAGCTGTTTCAATTTTGGGAAGGCATTTCCCCAATTATTGCCACCTCTTTCATCATCTCCAATGTCTGCTATTATGTACTCCAATTCATCACATTTCGAAATTGTCAAAGTTTCCACCAACATTACTGGAGTAATAGAAAAGATAAACAAAGATTTTATCTTCAAAAAACCAGATAGCTTAATCTCTTTTATATTGCACATGATGTGTGATTGTACTGGAAGGCATTGAGCACGTTCCCATAGCTGTAGACATTGTGAATTTGATACCTATAATATAAAAATTAAACCAAACATTACTGGCATGTGCATACAACTTATGGAAATGCAAATGTAAAAAGTTTTTTCAAATTAATTTTGTGCAACGAAAATTTTTGAAACACTTCATATAGGATAAGACTTCAAATTTTGGATGTTTAATCAATAGAAGAAACAAGAAACACATTTAAAAGAGAACTTATCAAAATATAACAAAAAAAGGTTATAGTGTTACTGATGGTGTTGAGTTCTTCTGCAGTGAATCCTCATGAACCGATGGGACTTTAGTAGTTGACATATGCCAACATTTACAACTCCATGAGAAGAGGTTGCATTTGACTGGGTCCACATGTGTTTGTTCCTTGAAACCATCTCTTGAAGTGGAAGATTTCGGAAAAATGGCCATAAAATTTGGTAATTCACAAAGATCTATTTCTTTGAGTGAACTCAGTTCAACATACTGGCCAAATATATATTCCAGCTTATGACATCTTCTTATTCTTAGAGCTTCAAGTATTGGAAGGTCTTGAGAGGAGAGGAAGGGAAGTATTGATTCTAATAGCTGACATCCTTCAATTTCAACAACTTTTAGTTTTGGAAACATTGAGACAGAACTCTTCTTACCATTATCATGTTCTTTTGATCCCTCCTCTATTATTATGTTTGTCAATCCTTCACAATCAACTATTTTCAATTTCTCTAGCAGCATCAGGTTCCGAGAAGTTAACAGTGAAGAGAGGTTTACCAACATTGGGCAATCACAAAGTGTCACGGTCTTTAGATTGTAGAGATTTAGCTTGCAATTAAACAATCTTTGAAACATTTTACACTTCTTTATCGACAACTTCTCTAAATTTTTCAAAGAGTCAAAAGAAAGGGAGCCATTGAACAATTCTACCAAATTTTCCATTGTGCTCACTTTTAGTACAACCAAATTGGGAAATATGTTTGGTACTTGAGAACCAACAGAGTCAATGAGACACTGTAACTGTGAGATAGAACTCAAACGCAGCTCAACAAGATCTTTCATACCTGAATCTATAGGAACAATCTCAGGCATGAGATTTCTCCATCCCTCCTTAATTCCATTTAAGTCAAGACCCTCTGTTGTATGCATGCAATACTTGAATGTGTCTTTTGAAAAAAAACATTCACCACGACCTGCATCAAAAGACACATATTTTGATAGTGAGTTAAGAAGCTTTCTCCGCCCTTTCTGGATATGATACATTTTCAACTCAGGTAAGGTTATTTCTCGACAAAAATCATTAAAACTATCTATCAAGTACAACTCTTCAAGTGTTGAGCATCTTCCAATAACCTCAAATGGATCATTCCTTGTAATTTCACACCTTTCCAAGTTTAACAATTTAAGTTTCCCCAATTTTGCAATTTCACGAGGCAATTCATTGATTTTGCATTTAACCAAATCAAGAGTCTCAAGACTTTGCAGATTTGCAAAAATAGAGATGTCACCTAAATCAACTCCATCAACCAATATAGATACGATATTTGCCAATGAGCTAATTGAATATGGTAATGATAGGGTTCGATTGTCATGACCTAAAATGTACAAAACTTGAAGATGGTCAATATTATCAAAGAAAGAATTTGGGGCTTCCATATATTTACGGTCTTCATCCATTTCGACATCGAGAATTAGAGTCTCAAGCTTGGAACCATCATACTTCAAGGAAAACAAATCCATGTCCTTCCCTTCACAAAATAAATATTTCATATTTTTTTCCTTTTGAGCAGATGATTTTTCATCTTTGTTCGATAAATTAACATGTCGAATCTCTTTGTATGCTATCCATTGAGCCGCTTCACGAACCAAATCATGCATTTTTACATGTTCTTCACCGACCCCCACCAACAAACATGAATCTATGAGTTTATCTTTAGCTACAACTACTTGGTTTCGAGCATCATTGTAGTTGCCATAATTCTTCCCAAAAAGGCCCGTTCCAATGCCAAGTCTAGTTAGAATTTCAATAGGGATTTCTTTATCTTCTGGGAATACTGAAGATAATAGAAACAATCCCTTGGCTTTTTCATACTTCATACCATCATAGCTAGACTTCAAACATTTATAAATTCCAACCTTTTCTTCATCAACATTGTCCATGGACACAGTTTCCTTCAATAATTTTAAGGTAGTATCCCACTTGTGCTTACGATCTTGTTGGCCCTTTAAACTTCTGGCGATAACTGCAATTGCAACCGGTAATTGTTTGCACTCCTTAGCAATTTCACGTCCCGTGGCGATCAAACTTATGGAAGAATTATCGATTATACATGCATACATTTTGAACATGGTCCATGCTTCTTCTTCAGGTAAGATATCCAATTCAATCATCTTATCACAACCCATTATATTGAATATTTGTTTACTTCGTGTAGTTATAAGAACTCTGCAACCTTTGTGATTGTCTTGTTTTGGAATTCCTATTAGATCAAAATCAAGAGGTGAGCCTTGATCCCACACATCATCCATTATTAGAAGAACTTTTTCATCGGTTGTTAATCTGCTCCATAGTTTTTTTGGTCGGTCTGAGTCATTACAGTCGTCCCATTCCAATCCTAAAGATCCAGCAATATCATCTTGAATTTTTTTTGTATCAGGAGTAAATGAGACTGTTGTATCGATTACATGAGCGAATTGTTCAGACTTCTTTAGTTCTTTACCCACTTCTTTGGCCAATGTAGTTTTTCCGGTGCCCCCCATCCCTTGCAATACGATCATATAATTGTTGTCATTTTTTAATGCATCCAGTAGCTCTTTGTATTTTGAATCTCTACTTGGAAAAGAAATGTAATCTTTAGATGAGTAACGTTCAACATCCGGAAGACGGCGAGAGATTTCAATATTTTCAAATGTCCCTCTCTTTTCTGTTAATTGTTTAATGTCTTGTATGTTATTTGCCAACTCCTTTCCCTTTTTATATCGCCATATGCAATTAGGACATAATCCAAAAAAGCATTTTTGTTTTGTTAGGATGTCCTCTTGAACGAGCTTTTCCGCTTTCTCTTTCCATAAATGATAATCAGCTTCAATATCTTTATCATTTCCTGCTGCCACTTTAGCATGTTGCTCCATTGTTTTTATTTCTGCTTCCAGCCAAGTCTTTTTTTCTCTGAATTCATTAGCAGTGCTTGTGAAGCAAAATACATGACGTAATTCTGCTATTGCCTTATCTATCAATTTCTCCATACATATCTTCCCCGATTCTGTTAAGCAACATTCCATCTAAATCAATTTCAATAGATCAATGTTAGCCATAAATGTTCAACAATGCTTCAAGCAATAAATATAGAATGAATGGTATGATGGTCAAAATATAAAATAAAAATTTTAGCTATAGATAAGTATCATTCTCATTAAATAATTATTTAGTATTCTCATTTTTTATGGTTATCATTGCTATTATGTAAATAAATTCCCAAGCTAGTCTTATTTATAAGAAAAATTCTACATAAATTAAAATGCATTACGATTTTTTAATTTATCTTTAAATTATAAAAATTATTTTAGAGCCAATATTTTATATAAAAATGTAGGATAATTTGCTATACGATTTGGTAACCTGACTCCAATCATCCTTTATTCAACTTTTCCTTATTTCTATTTCAACATTTAGTAGATAATTAAATGCAAATTTCCATATTTTAAATATAATTTAATTCATTATTTAATAAATAAATAAAATCCCATTATGTTGTTATGGCATTCCATGCCATGCACAGTGTTCGGATTTTTTCCAGTTTTTGACGTCTCCGGTGGGAACGTTCATCCGCAGCGATGATGATACTCAGCAACGTACAAGGTTTGGTGTGGCTAGAGTTTTTGTGGGGACCAAATACAACATGGTGTTAAGCGAATCTTTTAACATTGGTGTGAATGATGAAGCATACTCAATCGAGGTGGTTGGGGATTCTCAAGGACCCGTTAAAATTGTAATGCTGAAAAATTTCTTGAAGGAACACCGAAAGCAAGTTTCTTCATCGTATCTGGATGGAGGTGATTCTGATTAGGCTGGTGTTCTATTCCAAAGATTGTAGCAGAGGAGGACACGACTACTTCTGAGAGGGTGGGTGAGTCAATTCAGGTGGAGAAAGGCAAAAAGGTGTTGCATGTCTTGAAGGATATTGAGGTTCTGTTGTCACCTAGAAGGAGTAGATCAGTTGAAAAGACAAAAAGTAAGGTTCAAGTGTCGTTAACGGTGAATCAGTTAGGGTAATAGAGGCTAGAGATTGCGAAGGTCATAGAGTACAAATGGCGGCAAAAACTCAAGGGAATGGATGAATATTGTTTCTTACCATATTAGAGGAGGTGGAAATTCTTTAAAGAAGGATTATGAAGTGTTTGTCAAAAGGGAAGGCTGACTTGTGCTCTCTGTAGGAGACGAAAATCAAGGAGATGTCATGTGATTTAGAGAAGAGTTTCAGGGGGAGTGAAGTGGATTGGTCGGCAAAGCAGAAATCAAGAATTGCTTGGTGTAAGGAAGGTGATTAAAATACCAGGTTTTTCCACAGTGCAATGAAAGGAAGGAATATAATGAATTATCTGTGTAGTGTAGTCTCAGGTTCAGAGAGGGTGTGCGATGTTGCAGGGGTAAAGTTTGAAGTCAAAAGTTTCTTCGAATCCAAATATAAGGAAAATTTTGCTAACAGATCAAGGTTGGATGGTTTATATTTTGAGCAGCTGGAATCAGAGGATGTTATTTGGTTGGAAGAAATGTTCACGATGAAGGAGGTTAGGGAAGTGGTTTGGGAGTTTGATGGAAACAAATGCTCGGGTCTTGACGGCTATAATTTCAATTTCATCCGTAAATGCTGGACTACACTATCATGTGAGATCTTTTTTGTATCAGAGTTTCATTCCAAAGGAAATCTCACAAAAACTGTATTAGCATCCTTCATAGCTTGCCTCTTGCATTACATGATTAAAGGGTGGCAGAGTGATGTAGCTCAAGTGATATCTAATGAGATTCGAAAGATTGTCATCAGTGGCCACTCTCATGGTAACAAGGCCCCTATGACTCTTAGTTTTCCGGCTCTTATCATGGGGCTGTGTAGGAAGGCAGGTGTTGACATTTCCAATGTGGCTACTAAAAGGATTAGTAGTATTGTGAATGATGATTATGTGCTTAGGCATTGTGTGTCAAAGTTGTCAGGTGAGGCAACCCCTCAATCTTAGGTGCATGCTTCTCCGGCAGCTCCAACTGATTTTAGTGAACAACAAGCTTGTGTTTATAATTGGTACATGATGGAGGCTCAGATGAGAGCTTCTTTCTTCCTTCATGATTCTATGCAGCTTTTGTATCGTTATCAGGTTGCTCCGGAGGAAGTTCCTACTTTTCCTACTCGAGAGGAGTTTGCTGCTTATGCAAATTACCATATGGACAAGTCATTCTTCCAAGAGGGGGCAGCAGCTAATGCTAAAGCTAATGAAGATGTTGAGGAAAGTGATGAAGAGCAGGAAGATGAAGAAGTTAAGGAGAGTGATGATGAGTGGAGCGGTTGATCTGGCGCGGATTGGTTTGCCGCATTATCATAATTTTTATGTTTTTTTTTATTTAGTCTTTTATTTTAATTTTCAAATAATTATCATGATGTGATCCTTTTAAGGATGATGTTTTATGGTTGTATTTTGGGTTTAATACTTTTGGAGGCATTTTTATGTCATGGATGACTTTGGTACACCATTTTGAGGTGTTTGTTTTTGTTTGTTTTTATTTTTGGGATTTTTAATTCCATGGCATTATATTAGTAAGTTTGTTAGCTTATTTTAAAATATTAAAAAAATAAAAAGAAAGAAGCGAAAGCTTATGTTTGTTCCCTAGTTTGACAATTTTGAAGGAACCAAGTGAACTTGTACAAATGCGGTTCAACTTGCAATTGAATGGTGATGATATGAATTGAATTGTAGTAACAACTTCAAGGTACATATTTATTGCTTTCTAAACTTAGCATAAATATAAAACTTATAGTTTGTGCATAATGTCATACCTTTAATTCTTTAACAATACTCGTAAATTGTGAATCACCTTAGAACTTAACCTTGTGTGAGGAAGCTTTTCATTGTGCACTTAAATGCGGGAAATTAACATTTCTTGTTAACTCAATTTTATCATGTTTAATGATGCATGGGTGTTGATGTGTGAAAGTTGGAAAATGATCAAGGCATTCATTGTTTTATTTTGAGAAAAATCACTTGAGCCAAATATATAATCAATCTACCTTGTGAGTGAGTGATCACTTGTTCACCCCAATTTAGCCTTTCTATAAAGACCTTTGTGATGATTGAATTGTGTAAATATTGAAAATGAATAACAAATTCATCATTAGGTTTTTAGAAAGGATCTTGATTTTTGTTTGAGAAATGTTTGAACTCGCAACCTCAATGTGGTTGCTTTTATTCTTTCTTTGCCTTAGCGTATGGAAACATTCTTGTTATTATGTTGGATTGTGTTCAAAGTTTGAGAGATTTATGTAGATTGTTTGTTGTGAAAGAAAAATTGGTTTAAAGAATAGAAAAGAAATGAGAAATATGATTAAAAAAAAAGAGAAAAAAGAATCAAGGAATTTGAGCTCTTAGAAAGAAAAAGAATTGAAAAGCCAAGGATATAAATTGTGTCGGCATAAGAGCTCATGGTTGTATGCATATCTAAGAGAAAAAATACAAGAGGGGTAAAAATATTGAATTGTGTATGGGTGTGATGAATTGAATGTTCTCACACGTTAGGCAATTTAGTTTGAATTTCCTTAAGAAATATCCCTTCCTTGTAACTAAGTCAAATTACAACCCTGTCAATGCCTTGTGATTCTTACTTTGCGCGTTTGATGCTTTTTGTGTGATGAATGCATGATTTAATCCGGATGTTGACATGAATTTTGGATGAGTGAAAAAAGCCCTTTTTGTTATCTCTCATCCATTGATGAGTGTGTGTTAAGGTGTAATTCATTTTTGAGTTGGATTGTAATGGAAATTTTGTTATATATGTTGCACTTAACCATTGTTTCATACTTATGGTTGGATTTAGTTAGTGGTAAGCATTATCTTGTTTGTTTTTGTTCATTTGAACCATAAAATTGTATTGTGAAAAACTTGTTGTTTCCTATTTTGTGGTTTGTCTTGGTTTTCTTTTAGTTGGAGAATTTTTATTTAGGGACAAACAAAATGTTAAGTTGGGGAGAGTTGTTAGGGACACAATTGTTGATATATTTGTAGATAATTTTGTGTCATTGGTACTCTATTTTTGATAATCAGTAGTGTGTAAGTTTGTAAATAGATGTAAATAAGAAATTATCTAGTTTTTAAGATACATCACTTTGTTTACTTATTTTTTTGCTCATTTTGTAGGTTTTTATGTTGGAACATTGGAGCATTGGAACTTTGGGAAGGCTAGGGCCAAGAGTGTGGTGCAACAAGTCAAAATTGCAAGTTTTGTTCAGGCTAGTGCGCTAAGCGCAAGTTGCAGCGCGCTTTTGGTGTTTTGCGCATTTGGTAGAATGGAGGTTTTTTTGGTCCAACTAAGCGGCCTTGTCCTGCTTAGCGCGGTCCACTAAAACATGATTAATAATGTTGAGCCTACTTAGCGCGCCCTGACTGCTTAGCGGGACTCACTTTTTGGGCACTTGTATAAATAGCTACTATTATGATATTTTGGCCACCAACTCTTGTACAACATACACAAATCAGAATTTTAGGGCTAAGAAACAACTTTTATCATTTTGTAACTCAAGATCAAAGATTTCTATCTCAAATATTTGATATTTTCTTGTTGATGTTCATCAAGCTTCATTCTTTGTGTCAAGATTAGAGGTAGATAATCTTCCTCTTGTATGGATTTAGCTTGATAATTTGTATGTGAATATCTTGATGATAAATATATGGTGAAAATTCTTGTTTTATAGTTTATATTTGAGTTGATCATTATTAAGAAGTGTGTTCATCTCTAGACCTAGGTTTTCACTTATCAATGAACAATTTCTAGACAGTTTTATAAGTTGATATTCACTAATGTTGAGCTTTTAAAGTTATCAAATTGATAGTTAGGTAAAGAGATCATCTAAAGATCAATTTGATAAAACTGACATTTTGTTTTAGAGATGAAACTCTTGAGAGGATATGTGATTATATTTATGATTAATGAGTTCACATACGTGATTGAGAGAATACGTCCGAAAGAGATTATGGATCCCTAATCCTGACACACTTTTACCAAACATTTGAAACCAAAATTT